TGATTGATTACTCTTTTATTCCAGTTTAGTTTTTATATCGTTGAAAAAGCGTAATAATGTAGGAAATTCTGTAAAACTTATCTGTGTTGTAAATTTACAATTCCCGTCACTCGCTCAGGCTCCGTTCCGAATCACGAACGGTCGGATTGCATTATGCGACGCTCAAAATTTGGTCCACATGGTCCGCAATAAAACAGAAATCGCATCAGTATGGAATGCGCGCCATTCTATGGGAAGTTTCGGATAGCATTTGCGCACATTGTCTAACTGCGGTCTTGAACAGCTGCAGCCAGATGCTTTGTACATAGGTCATAGGCCATTTCCTTCACAAGATTCTGTGAAGCTCATCAGAGTATCCCAGCGTCCTGTTTTCAGGGCGGGGGGTACGAGCGAACCGTTGCGCGTCATCATGGACAAAAAAACTGTGTAACGCGCTCTGTATCATGTTACGCAATAATGCGCCCGGCTGTTGTATTACAACACACTGCATTCGAATTGACCAATCAAAACCATTCGGTCCTCATTCGGGAATGAAATGACGTCACGATTTAGTAAAGTCGACTCCGATGGCTGGCGCGCGGCTTGCATATATATATCTGCATGTCTGGGCATATCAGATGTTATACAGGAGATTAGCCTCGGTGTGGATAACGGGTGATACTCAGACTAGCGTTATCCATGCGAGAACGATTATTTGGGGTGTCCCATTTTGTTCCGAAAAATCGAGCTGTTCAGTGCTACATAGATGTGCAGCTGCACAGTGGTTGCTTTCTGCGGACGGGTGAGAAACAATGTAATATTATTATTACTATAATGATCTGGTTCACGGTACTCTGTGGAGACGTGCACAATAGGGAACACAAGATTGTAAACGTCTCCACGCAGCCGTGGCGATTTCTAAAGGTTACGTAACACTTTATTTTGAATGAAACTACATTTTGAAAATTAATTTCTCCCGTTAAGAAGACCGTATCTTCATGCAACTTTCAGGGTTTATTTCCCTTATAATGATCCAAGTATGTGCTAAAAATCATTGTGATATGTTCATAACTTGGCATTGAAATTGGAAAAAAAGACCTGTGTACCGGTGCGTGCAGAACGTGTCAATCTTTTCAAAACTCACGAATATTAATAAGGTTCCTAACTATTATGGCGTGCAGTAAAAATTCGGAGAAAAACCTCCTTCACGAATTATTAATTGATAAATATCACCCTTTTTGCCGGCTTCCATTGGTCAGTTCCGAGACCCACGCCAAGTGACGCTAATGAATATGCTAATATACCCGTCGCTGTTGTGCTGCCGGGCCGAAATTGGTCAACCGTGGCGCCTACGGCGCTTTGCTGAACAATGCACGTGGGTTAGGTCGGCAGAAAATCCTTTCAAAATCGAAATTTTTCTTCGAGATAGTTCAAGGTGTAACATTGGCGTTTGCAACAACATCTCAGATAAGCTGAAATTCGAAAAAAATAATTAAATGATTTAAGTGTTCAACTACTCGTGAAATAGCAACTTCGTGAAATTCCTCGAAATTGATATAAATACATAGATTTTGGGAAGTTTTCGAACGATTTCTTCCAGACTTGAAGGTCAGCTTTACCAGGAATCAGGATTGACCTTTCGGCATCAATGACGGCCATTTTTTTCACTGACATGAAGTTTAGATTTTTTTCTTCAGTTATAATTTAACATTTCAATCATACTGAGCATTATTTTCTGAGAAACACAACAATCAACGTCATGTTTTTTGGGGGCGCATGAATTTCACTGCTCTGTTATAGCCTCTAAGTTATCAACGACATACGCTTTGTCTTTGCAACCATATGTGACTGCACAGGTCAATTTCTATAGGTGAATACGTCTCCACAAGGTTATCACGAAATAGATATATGGATTTTACTTAAAAACTAGTAATTGCAAAGTTGTGTTGATTCCGTCGCAAATTGAAGTATTTTACGTAAGGAAAATGAAGTCCGGATTTCAGCCCGGGAAATTAACTCTGGTTATTAAGACCTAAAAAGGAGCATTTTGATGTACACTTTCAAACTCGAAAACTTAAGTACACGAGAACAAAGAAATGACTCCACAAGGATACAAATTCCAGTAGGCCTATGTGTGTGTGCATGCATGTTCCATTTTGGTTTGGTTAACTGTTTAGAAAAGTCAGACTTCAGTCTCAACCAAACTTGGTGACAATTATCTCTGGGTAGGGGGACTTCAGATGACTTGAGACATTTGAGGTCAAAGGTCGTCTGAAAATATCTTCAGTATGTGTGCGGACCTGTGCAAGTCCACAGTACGTTTTAAGCTCCCGAACTGTGCGGACATCCTTGTTTAAAGGTCCACACATCTACCGCAATGTAAACGTGTCTTCTTTTTGTGTGACAATCTTTGGTATTTGTACTTTGTATAATTGTATCTGTATGTATCTTAACAAAAGCTTTATGTAAACTAGCTCCTGAGCACGATGGTAATAATAATAGTAATAATAATAAATTACACTTAAAGAGCAGTGACGGAGCGCGTGTCCGTGGGGACAAAGCGCTTCACCATTATGGCTTTTCCAAACCAACCTGGGCTGGTATATTAATATTTGAACCCCTCCAACAGTTATTAACTTCAATGACGACAACCATGCGCGCCCCGGCATTACAAGCATGTCAATAATTGACTTACTGATACATCGCACAGCTCAAAGGAGTGCACTGGATTATTTGCAATAATTGATGTTGGGCATAATAACAGAAAATGAAAGAAACACAAAGTGCTTGATCATTTTTGTGTACGCTATTAAGAAAAAACTAATACCTTAATTTTGCATTGTCAACAAAATGTTCTATACATATTGTTTCGAATTTCAGTCTATTTTTCCTTTTAGTTTACACTTAAGTCGACTCCCTTCCCCTCAAAGGAAAGGATGAAAGTTAATAGTATTATATTGTACATTAAATACGCATTCATTATTTAATACTTCATAATCTTTAGTGCTCTATACAGTGCTCTTACTATGTCACATAGGCGGGTGCATGGGCGTCAATCGATGCGGGACCCCCCCTCACTTTTTCTGTGGCATGATGTCTGTGTAGCTCAGAATGGCTGATTCAATGATTCCAAACTCGAAACTGATGTTTGAGTGATGATCTTGATCGGATGCTTGAAGGTATGTTCCCCCACACACTTTTGAGAATCGATTTACGTCCTTGGGCGGGTGCATGATAGTATGCGGTAGAAAGTCATCAGAATGCAGTGACCTCTCACAGTTAAAGCTATAGTCCATCATTTGCAGCCATCCGAAAAGTAACTGGCGTAATTATTGTTGAAAAACATACTTAGTTGAAAGATAGTAAGGGAACTAAACTCCCTGTGAAATTATTCTTTCTGGCAAGCTGTCATTTTGAAGTAATCAACGAAAGAAGGCATTTCCAACGGTGATTCTTAAGAAGCACCGTAGGAAAATTTAAATTAGTAGTTCGTTTTGTTATTCAGCGCAGCGCGCGCAAGTATTGGAACGACGCACACGCGCGCGCGGTTGTTATAATTCGTCGGATCAGTGCGCGACGTCGCGTAAAGCTGCAATTCAAAACATGATTCAGTAACTTTTGATTTGAAATTGAGATCTTAGAATGCTGTTTTTCTCGGAACATACAGCTGAAGCTTAGCTGAAACTTTATCAGGTTAGTTGCTTAGTATCCTTTATTAGATTTTGAACTCTTTTGTTGCTTCAAACGAACAAAATGCACAAATTACAAATGATGGACTATAGCTTTAATGGTAGATCTCGACAATGGTTTGACTGTATTAAAGGAATATACAGGGTGATAAAAAAAACCCGAAACTCAAATGTTGGGACCATTGTTTTAAGAAGGTTCTGCATGTAGCATTTTCAAAATCTAGGATATGAAAGCCCAATTCATAAGCTATCTTTTAGTACAAGAATCATTCAAATCACTCATGTACTTTTCAAGTTACGGAATTATAAGCACAACCACCGTTCAAAGGTTATGTCCACGGATCACAGAAAAGGTGTGCGTTCTTTCAGCCAAACGAAAACAAATCACACACATCCCTATGTGATTTGGTTTTGTTTGGTGGAAAGAACACTGAACTTGTTTTGTGATCCGTGGACAGAACCTTAAAACGGTGGTGCTTTGAAAAAATTCTTGTACTAAAAGAAAGCTTATGATTTGGGCTTTCATATCCCAGATTTTGAAAATGCTAAATGCAGAACTTCTTTTAAACAATGGTCCCAACATTTGGGTTTCTTTTTTTTTACTCACCCTGTATAGCATCGTTTTCTTTTCATGCATTTTGTTTGTTTTCAATAATTACACCACTCAAAATCCAAAGGCGAACGTTCAAAACCAAACCTGTTAAAGTTTCAACTCGATGGATATTACACTTTTTTGAGAAAACAGTTAAAAACATGCACATCACGAAACGTGATTTCGTCTATTACTATTTATTTCCAAAAATCAGGCAATAATTGATCGTGGGAAATCACCTTTCTGGATTTCTCCTACATGACAGCAAACTAGACCGAATCATAACTGATTCGTTAGATTATTTTGGACATAAAAGTAACTCATGTTTGCCTTCAAGTGTTGTGCGTAATCTTGTGCGGAAATATCATGCTGGGGGTTAGCTGAAAGAAACTACGGAAGAGACCTCTATGCATGACGTCAAGGGTGACATCCAATCACGATCGTCTATGCTGACCTCGTCTTTACGATCGATTGGAATGAACTGACGCGTCACCCTTCCTCGACCAATGAAAGTATTCATTCCAAGCACGTGATCCGCAGCAAAATATCATTATTTGGTTCGCTTGCGAGCACTCAAGGGTTTTGTCAGAGAGAAAAGCGTGGGTATATGTGCATACGAACCTGTGATAAGTTCGGGTACAAGATACAATTCGGAACATGATGATAGAAAATAACAGAATTGGCCAATCGTTAGCAAAACTCCATCAGATGATCGGAGCAAGAACTGAAAAACATCAAACATCGACCGTTAACAATGGCAAGCACTGATGTCACCGTTTTGCCCCCTTCGTCTGGAATCGATGAAATCAGAACAGACGGGGCCATCTGGAGAGGAATCGTCAACTTCTTCATTACCCTCTTCGGTCTCTTCGGCAACTCCTTGATCCTGCGGGTTTACTGGCGCAAAGCGCGCAAAAGGAGCACTGAGGTTCTCATCATGGGACTGGCGGGCGTAGACCTGACGGTGTGCCTGCTGCGTATCCGTAATGTGGTCGAGTTCACGTATACGATCGCCGGGGTCGAAGTTCCGTTTGTTGTCCGGATTCTGGTGGCTCCCTGCAGAATCGCGCTCGGTACGTCGGTCGTAATGACGGGCGTCATCGCCTTAGACCGTTACGATAGCGTGTGTCGGTTCAGCAAGCGGTTCCTCAACAAACGGCGAGCCAAAATAGCCATATTGGTGTCGATTGTGATCGCCGTCGTGCTGGAGTCACCTAGCATTCTGAGCGGCGTCATCTTGTCTCCCAACCTGAAGAAATTCGCCTATGTTTGTTACATTACCGGCTATTTGACGATTCTGCTCATGACAACCGTTTGCTATGGTAATGTGTACGCGGCCATAAAGAGACAACGTAAAGTCCACATTGGATTAGAGAGAACGAGCAGTGAACCTCCAGCCATTCCTACCATCAGCCACAACATTCCCACACTTCTGAGAAGGGCTAAAGTAAGCCGGATGCGAGTAGAACCTCTTGATAGTGGATCGGAATGTGGTCCATCAACGTCGGCATCAACATCAATGATGCGCAGATCGGAACCTCAACACCCAACTTCATCAACCTCACGTACGTCAACATCCGAATACCTAAGGCCTTATGAACAATGCAACTCATCCAAAGCGCGGAGTCGACAACCAACTGAAGAGTCGACTCAAAATGGAAGGCCTTTCCTAAAGCCTTCACCGGTAAGTGATGCCCGAGGGCAAAGCTGGGCCGTACAGACAAGCGTCCTAAAACGCATCCGATGGAGGGAGCCTCCGTCTGGTAACCAGCCTTCCATGAGGGAATTGATGCAGCGAAGGGTGACCCGCATGCTGTTCATTACCAGCGTGGTGTTCTTGTTGACCTGGCTGCCCTTTTGGATCTATGTCGCTACGGATCTGTTTGTGCTGAACGGTGGGACAGTTGACCAAGGTGTCCTCGCCAAGATGTTTAGTTCCGCAATCTTGTCGGCAGTCAACAGCACCGTGAACCCGCTTATCTACGGACTCGCTAATAGGCAATTTCGTAAGGATTGCGCAGTCCTTTTTCGAAAATAACCTTAAATGTTGAATGTCACACAACAAGCATTTCAATTTAATGAATGTATGTAGAGGGCGAGCGCATCACTCCTGGTGATTTGATCTGTTCAGTGGTCTTTTATGCGTTCAAAGTCAAAGATCAATATTTCATTTCAAAATGTGTCGTGTCTGTATCAACTATTATTTTGCATATGCAAAAGGTAACCCATGCTCTCGCAGACTATTGGTTTATACCCCGCACCTGCACTCACAAAACTAGATGTGTATTAAAATGATTTAAAGCTATAAAAGACCCGCGTTTGTTATAGTTATACAAATGATTGGTAGTTAATAAGCCTCTGTAATGATGACGCCACACTTTGTTTACATGTGCACTTTCCTGTGGAGCCAGTGGAGGCCCACCGTCCACTGACGTCATCAGTACAGAGGATTATTGGGAACACGTTGCTTTCGCAGCAACATCGGTGAGTAAAGTCATCAATAAATTAAAAAAATACGAGTGTAAGCGTTGATAAAACTCATAAATCGTTCAGTCGACCGATTTCGATGTTTCAGAATAGCCAATTATTTGTCTTCATTTTGGCGGACATAACAAACGATTGAAACGAAGCACTTATTAATTACGTTCCTCAATAACACTGACTGTATCGTACCCCGTTAAAGATTCTTGTGACGAACGACTTCAAATGAAAAAGAAGTCCAATGATGACAAAGTTGTGACGTGATATCTCTGCCCTTGTATTGCACCAACTGAGTAGCAACATGTACGGTGTTCAAGAGTACTCAAAAGTGTTGTGTGCTCACGAGTGTGGTTCATTCTGCAATTAACAAAAACCAAAAATACACTAAGTGTCTAATAATTATACCAAAATGTACCTGCATTCGCATCAAACGATTATAATATGAACTGATAATTAAATCGACTATTTTGATCTCACAAAACACAAATATGTGTCTATTGTGAATTATTTCCTTGTCAATTATTTCCTTGTCTGTCTTAACTCATATCCACTTAAGTTATACCCTTGGAGCATCAATGTTTATATTGAAAAATCATAACAAAAGTCTTCTACGTTTAACCTTTATGACCATAATCTATATCAAATGATCTAAACCTAACGTGGGATTTGTTGTACAATCAAGTAACATGCAGTCATTGAACATGTATTAAGTATGTACCGGCAGTCATTTCAAGTTTATGCTCAAAAGAGGACCCTACCACCTCCCCCCTTTATACACCATAAACTTTGACTCTTCGTCTAAATTTCGAAATGACCAAAGGTTCTTACAGCAATGGGCGTATCAAAATATGGTGCAAAATCAATGGAACTTCTTAGCGAATTTTACTGGCGCCGGAAACAATCGTGACAGTATGGCGCGCTTGGAGCGCCCTCTTGAGACTGAATTAATTCTACGCCTATGGGACGCCTCTCTGCTAACTTGAAAACTTTTTTATCCGCAACATCCTGGCCCCTTAAATGAGCATACTAATTACGATCATTTACTAAAATTGCACTCAACTACGATACTCCTTTAACTTTTAGTGAACCATGCAAAGTCTGCAAAACAGTGACTTCATAACAAACATGGAAATCTTATGCAAGTACGGGCAAGGACCATTAGTCGACTAGTGGTTGATTTGTGACGTAACTTACGCCTGCGCACTAATAGCAACATGTGAACGTCTGTCAAACAATGGTCATACCGTCATCTACTGAGGCCAAGTTCGGGCAAGGACCATTAGTCGACTAGTGGTTGATTTGTGACGTACCTTACGCTTGCGCACTGATAGCAACGTGCGAACGTCTCTTGTCAAACGCTGGTCCAGGGTGACCGTCAGGTCATGGCCAATTTCTGCTAAATGCAATTCAAAAATCTGTCAGATTCATCACAAATCTGCTAAATTCCCCAGAATTACTCGAAATACGTCATAAACACTTAAAATCACATGTGGATGATGTAGTATTGCCTTAATTAAGGTTCGATTTACTTTATAAACAATCTATAGTAACATAAAGATGTTATGAAATTGTGTGCATTTCAGGCTAAACGAAGTCGCGTCACGACAAAGTCAGGTTCCCAGTGAACCTCAGCACCCAGACCAGCTAACATGTCCCATTATGCAAGGGTTTGTTTGAAAAGATTGAAGCTTTTTCAAATAAATGTACCATTTTTCTTCAAATTTGCTACGTTTTTCTGTCAAATATCCATGTTTGCAGAATTCTGCCAGAAATCTGCCAAAAAATCCATTCCGTCAAATTTTCTGTCAAACTCGTTGTTTAACAAAAATTCTGTCAAAGTTAGCCGAAAATCGGCTAAAACGGTCACCCTGCGCTGGTCAAAATGTCATCGCAAAACTTCTGGATCCTGGCTCTCTGCTACCGTTATGAATGCGCGCGGCTATTGGTTACCAGCGATGCAACCAGCCCCAGTAGGTTGGTTCCAAATAGTCGACTAGCGTAGTCAACCACCGTCGACTAGACAGAGTTCGGGCAAGCGTTAGTCGAACTATGGTTAACCATTGGTCAACTATAGTCTTGGTCCTGGCTCTCCGCTTTATGATGCGCGCGGCTACTGGTAACCAGCGACGGAACCGCGCCCCGTCGTCTGGTTCCAAATAGTCGACTATACCGTAGTCCAACCATCGTCGACTAGACGAGTTCGGGCTAACTTAGTCGAACTATGGTTAACAATAGTTCTTGCGCGAACTTGTTCTTAGCACCTGGTCAACTAAACACTGGTTGAACAGATAAATCATGGAAAATCAATTGACTCCTGAACTGATGCAAATAAGCGTATCATCTACATTGTACTCAGAATTTCACTAAAAAAATGTTCTGGATCAGTAGCAAATTTCACTGCATGAAGTTAAATAACTAGCACGTGCATAATCAAATATAAGATATTCACAGATCTAGAGATTGGCATCTTTGACACATGAACCAAACATAATCATTATTCTTAGGGTCAATGAAAATTTAAATGCAACTTACATACAATCCGTATTTCAACATTTGGGGAGAGTCATTTGCCCTGGCTATCAGGCAAGAACGCAGACCTTAATGCTCAATCCCATCAGCAGCTCCTTTTCACAACATGATTGTACACAACTTACATAACAAAGCACCGAAATTGATCAAAGCATGGAACTTGGTCATAGTGTCCAGAAATGTTGTTGTGGTCTATTGACCAGTAACTGTACTCACGTGTTCGCATTCTTTTTGTGTAAAGCGCCCTCTGCATGACGACATATATGGAGAAAGCAACTGAGCCACGAACACACGAACGAGCACAAATACCGGTACAGCCTTTATGGCAGCCATCTTCAGACATTGTTTTGCTGATAATCGCTAGAGGTTAACAGACTCCACGAACTCTCAGAAGAAGGAAACGATACAAGGAGGTAATTTAGGGATCCTCATTTTGTTGAGAAAGGAGTAGTAACCATAATATTTGATTCTTTTTACAGAGAATTCTGTGATTCTTTTGGCACGGCATAGATCTCAAAATTTAGTATGATCATGGTTTAGCCACGATTTTAGTCAAAGTGATGATTTATGTATATATCGTCACAATATTACTTTGTGAACTTATAAGATCTTTTTACCTTTTTTTAATCACAGATTCACGTATCCACTGCGGATTATTTCACAAAGCCAGTGCAAATCATTTCATGGAATCAAATGCGAATAATTACTTGGAATAAATGCGAGGATAAAACACCTGGACTAAGTCGTTTCTGATAAAATCAAAGGCTGCTTTACAGACCCTTTTAATTCCTTAATCATCGACCCCTGACCTACATGTGATCTGCAACCCTTGTGAAACACCAGCAGTAGCACTATATATCCACCAACAGGGTTGCAACTTGAGCATGACCGAAGAGCTGGCGCTACATGACCGTTGTGCAGTATAGCGTGAGGAAAATAAAAACACTCGTAACACTCATAACTCTCAATCGGAGGAGTCAGGTTGGCGTAGCGGTACTTTCCTCGCCTTCCACCGCTGTGACCCGGGTTCGACCCCGCCTGGGCCAATACGTGGATTGGGTTTTCAGTCCCTATACCTGATTCCGTGGGTTTTCCTCAGAATATTCCTCTGGGCTTTTCCTCCCAACTCTAAAACATTGTCTTCTCTCTACAGGTTTCGTCAAGCTTTCGAGCTACAGTGCTTAGGGTACTTTTGAGGAATCCTTGGTTTCATTACCAGAAAGATATAAAATAACAATGCGGCAGATCGGGGAAATATTTTTGGGGAATTGTGCCCTTCATGATGCAAGCATGGCATTTGGCACACAGTCAGAGTGTGTCTTAAGAAACGTATTTGGCTATAGGGCCATCGCAGATTTATCCCTTGAAAAAAATGTAGGTAGAATAGCAAGCAATTTTCAAATTGTTCAAAATGGCTGCCATTGCTTGTTATTCTGCCTATATGTTTTCAAAGGACAAATATGCGATGGCCCTATAGCCAAATATCTTTCTCAAGACATACTCTGACTGTGTGCCTAATGCCATGCTTGTATCATCAAAGGCACAATCCCATCACCTATCTGCTGTACTTTAGGAGTATCTACACACTTTTTTTTGTTGGCCAAATTTACTTCGTAGTTTTGTTGTTATTTCACTATTTTAGACGGTCACTTTTGGGGGACATACTGTTGATCGAACTTTATTTGGTTTAAACTGTAATTTTGATGAAAATGGAATTTGAAATTGAGTCCTTGGTTTTTGGAGGTAAAATGTATTGAGTTTGGATATAGGTAGTGAACGTGAGCGGAAAGGACATACATGTAGATACATGTAGTGGTCGCTAAATACAATTTACAGTGACCTTTACATCGAAACAGCTTGATCGCTAGATGGAAAAGTGCCGGGGGAAATCTTGCGATAGTGGTTGTCAATCTCTGGCTTGGCAAGGCCTTTTCCGTAGTCATTGGATCACAGAATGAAAATAAGGCACACATGCACGTGTTTTTGCGGACCTCAGATGGTTTATGGCCTAGTGTCCTCTGTACCTGA